GAGCACACACAATGAACCAGGCAATGTGCCCAGTACCAAAGAAAGACTGCAGACTTTTTGTTTTCCACCCACTTCTCACAGTGCTCATGACAGCAACCAGCACAGTGTCTTCCCAACTGATCATTTAGGATCTCTGCTGTCCTTTACCTTGGTACATAGGTAAGATCATTTTTTTTCCCAAAGAATCCAAATCAGGACAACTGTTCCTTTGAAATGTGCTAAACAATAGCCGTGTGCTGTTAAGCTGTATTTCTGCCCAGAAGCTTAGGGGCATTGTTAATGAAGACAAGAATGGTCAAGTAGCAAGGGCTGAGATGTGGTAACATCTGGGTTATCCAGGCAGGACATGAGTGTGAGTCAGGAGAGTATCCCAGCTCCTATAGGGCAAGCACAGAAGATACTACAGCACAAAAGGGATCTTTTAACATTACAGAATTATTTCATATTATTTTTCTTCTACTAGCTGCAGGCCTGAGCACTGTGAACACAACTGACAGGAGAGAGCTTTGCTCTCCAAAAATTCCTACACTTCTTACCTGTCTTGGAGACAGCAGGTGAGTTTCAGAACATATTCTCTAGGGATTAGATACTAGCAGCTACTACAGGTGAAAAAGACTACTACTATCTAGCAGATTTCTGCTTTAACTATGGGCCTCTCACATTCATACACAGGAGATGAACCACAGAAAACATTTTTTATGTTGATTTGGTGTAGTCTGCTTTTCCCATTTCATTTTGAATTTAAAAATAAAGCCAGATTCACTGCTGACAGTTGGAGAGCCATAGTCTGAATGACTATATTCTGAGGATTATTTCTTCTCGATTATTAAATGAACACTGTTTTGGTCTAAAGGACTGCTGCTCTGTAGTATTATCCAGAAAGAAAGAGAACAGAAAATGTGCAAGATTTTCAACAGTTTGTCCATCCATGTTCCTTGTATCCTGAGCATCTGGGAATGACCCATCTATCAATAAAGTGCTCCAAATCCAGCTCAGATGCTCCAGCAGTTCCCTGCTTTTTGACATCAACATCCAGAAGAGCCAATCCACAATTCTGTGTTCCTGCCAATGTCATTTAAACAAATACTTTGTGACTGATATATGATACAACCATTATCCTATTTCTTAAGCTTTAAACACCAGATTTCATCATGTTCCCATAGTGGTATATACAAAAATATAATGCTGCTAATGGGTGTTTTTTAAGCAAAACTTGCACTCCCTCATCTAGTCCTTAGGTAATAAATTCAGAATTCATACTGCACAAGTAACCAAACTCAAGATGATTAAGCTTCAGGGAGGAAAAAGCACGCACATGAAGTAATGGCTCAAGAATTTCACTCCAGAGAGTCTCCAAAAACCCTCTAGAGCACAAGAAAAAAAGCCTTAAAGTAAATTTCTTGATACTAATAGATGGAAAATCAACCAAAACCCACAATAAATGTAACATATCAAACTTCCTAATTTCAGGCATTGCTTATAGATGGGCAAGTCCTGAAGTTATTACTTAAAAATATGTTAGAGAAAAATTGGAGTAACTGATAAATTACTAGTCTAATTGATTTTAGCAGGTCACACCTGCAAATTCTGTAAAATTCAGCATAAAATAAAATTTGTCAGAAAAACATCCCACTAATTGTAATTGGGCAATGATTCTATTTCTCAACATGTATCTGAATTGTTTTCAAACCTGTGATTTCAAGCAACCAATTTTTTTTTTTTTTATTTTTCAAGCTCAATATAGCAGACAAGCCGCATCAATTTGGCAATTAAAAAAAAACAAACCAAGAAGGCTCCTTAACAACTGGATGAACATCCTCCAACTTTCAAAGACTGTCTTAGACAGGAGTTCTTACTGCAGCGCTAGAGGGTAACACTGGTCCTTTGAGAGACAAAGGCTGAGTGTCTTCTAAGCTCCCCTAAACCATTTTCACTTTTCTATAAATAAAGCTGCTTATCACTGTACTTAAGCTTCAGGAACTTTAATTAGACCAAGAATTTCTCTAATGATTAGATAAAGGCTGTTGCAGTTGACTGCTAACAGTCTTAAAAGCAATAGGAACTTTCCTCCTTTTTCCTCTTTACAAGAAACTTACTTGGGAAAGTGACTACTGTCAAATAAGAAAAGCCTCTTTTCAAAAGCATATTTTAACCTTCTACTTATGAAATAGAAAGGAAATTATTATATACCTCAACTCATCCTGCAATTAACAATTCCAACTTTGCCTCACCCTTAAGGCCTAGAAATCAGATAAGCACTAAACCTCAAAACCTAGTGTACACCAGGTGACAGCTTGAAATGCTGGATTCTTCAGATGCTTTAGGAGAGAGAAGCAAACTTCTGAAGTATCCTGAACTCAAACTCTGTAACATGCAGGACAAGGACTTACATCTGTATAACCCAGGTTAAGTCAGAGCATTCACTGACTAGAGTTAATTATTTAGAACTTCTAGAATGTTTATTAATGATCCCGTTTGTTTGACCTTGAAATGTTGCTGGTTTATTGCACTTGCCTGCAGCAGTAGCTGTTTCCAAGGAAGCTGCTTAGCAGCGGAGAGATCTGCCAGGAGGATGGGGTGTCACATTCTTACTCATTGTGTTTACTCAACAGCATAATCCAACTTTCCAGAGACATGAAACTACTGCGATTTGACAGTGGCTATTTACTGCTTTGTGAACTTGGCCAGGTGACCAAAGTCACTTTTAAAGCGTGTAATCAATCTACAGATCTATTTTAAAACCTGTGCCGCAATCAGCACTTAAAAACCACACAGTTTTACACTAGTTGGGTCAAATTAATTTTATTATGCTTCATGATGAATTGCCACCAGTGCAACATCCTATTCACTGTACATTTCAAAAATTCACATACTAAAAATTTCAGTTTGATAAATGGAAAACTGAATGATTGAGAAGTTCTTACGAATTTCATACGTACAAGTGGCTAGCTGATATTGTCTATGCACATAGAGTGTTGAGATACAAAAGCCTCATGCTAGTTTGTTAATTGCTAAGGCTATCTGGACAGTCAATTAACCAGAATATATAGGAGGCCTTCATTACAATGTTTAGCAACAATGCACCAGTATCATGAAATGCTATCTTCTGCTCGGAGTGCAAGTGGCAGAGTGCTGAAGCATGCAGCTATGACTTAACTGTCGTCACAGTCTTTATGCCTGAAATTTATCATGAACAAACACTATTTTAAAGTAAATATTAACCTGGACACCACAGGTGTGAGTGTACTTTTTATATGAAGAAATAGAAAACCCAAAAACTTTCTTTGGCCAGTATCTACAAATCAAAGTTTTATTCAATTATGCAACTTCAGAGCTCCTAAAATCCAGAATAGAAATTTGATTAATGAACTGTGATGCTTAATTATGAACTATATTACAGAAATTCCAATTCTGGGAACAAAACAGCTAAACATATCTAGTAAGTAGCATGTTAGGAAAACCTCTAGGCCTCATCTGCTTAATTTTAAAACGCCCTATATGCAATAAAAATAAGAGTGCAGTGCCAGAAGTTATATGAAAGCCATACAAATATTTTCCTTAACTCCACTGCCATTAGCTACACCAGGCTGCACTTGCACTTGATCCAAAGCTCAAGCTATTACAGCAGCAAAGCTAGCAGGAAGTGTTTCCAGCAGCGGAGGCCAATGTGAAAGTTACTGCAAGAAAGTGAGACCACTTGGCAAATTTTTTCTCAAGTTATGTGCTTAAATTACTCTTGGAAGGAAGTTAGCATCCTCTGAATAATTTAACTACAACCTTACCTCTCCCACTACTTTTCAGCAACTTTCTTTTCTCCTCCTACAACTAAATTAATTTGCTAAAGACTAGGTTATAGTTGGGTTAGAAATCCAAGCCATATCATGCAGGTCCAGCCTGTCAAGATCAGGTCAACACTGGGTTTCAGTCAATACTTTTCTGATAACTTAAATTTCGTTTGATACCCTGACTACAGTCAAAGACCCAGGACACTATGTATTAACTACACTCCAAATGTAACTGACTTAACTAAACATTCTGTGTCAGATAATGTGGTTTTTAAAAAGATTTTCTACCTGAAAATTACAGTAAGTACAGTAATTAATGCTGCAGATATTAAATACCCACATAGCATAGATTAGTATTTCATAATAGGCAGATGTGCCAATGTTTACTGCACTACAAAGTACAATGTATATAAATGTGCAAGCTGTGAAATGAAAATCCCATTTTCTGTCCACCTACTCAAATACTACTCTTGTGAATCAGGTTCTTGATCTTCATCACAACCCTCGGTCTTAAAGCCAACATATGAAGACAAAATAATGCCATAAAGTTCAGTACTTATCCAAAGTGTGTAATTCTGAGTTAATGACTTTCCAACCTACAGGATGTAGGATTGGTGTTTCAGCATCTGCTGTGTACCATAAAGCAAAGACTGCAAAGTAATACCACTTGTGTTTATTAGTACACCAATGTCCTACAAATTTTAAAAAGTAATTAAATGCTATTGAAGCAAGCCTTAAATGCAGCCCTTCAGCCTATAAAAACCACAATAAACTGATTTTAAAAATCAGTTGCCAGCCTCCAGTACAGCCCCCAGTAATTTAGATATTTTCATCCTGAAAGTAAGAGTGGGGAAGGAAAAAAAACCAAATAAACAAAAACAAACAAACAAACAAAAAAATCCAAACCACCATAAACAAAAAATCCACCAAACAAAAAGCCAACCAACAGAACCCAACCACCCAAAAATCCCCCAGAAACCCGTCCCAAAAACAAAACAAACCAACCAAAAGTTGAACCTGTCTGCATCAAAGTTGCCATTACCACTATGACAATATAGAGCCACCCTGTTTAACTTAGATAGAGGTCCCCAGTTGAAGGATTTAATTACTACTGCTGTTCATAGCAGTCAGTACTATAGCCAGGGCAAGGTAATTTTCACAACTACCTGTGCATTTCTGTAGTGCTTTTCTGTTATGCAAAGCACACTGCTAAGATTTGAACTGCAATGTTTTGATGTATTTGAAACCATGCAATCGTATAAACCAACCTCAACATTCATATAGCATTGCATTTGAAATCAAGGGGCTAAATAAACTAAGAGCTGCATCACTTAAAGAACATAGTGCTATACTAGGCTTTAATAAGAAAATTTAGATACAGAAAAAGTAGGGTATGAAAATAGTGTTTTCCTTCTTGCATTATAACTAAATTACATTAAGGTTTTTGTCAGTCTCACATATTACATTTAAACTCCCTTATTGATGGAATGGAAAGTATTCACATGTACATGATCATCCAGGTGTAAACTTGCACACATTAACAGGGAGTAGCTTCGTAGAGGATTATGACAAACCTTTACAGATTAAATGAGGTATTGCACAGATTAATAAAAAAGCAAAAGGCAACAAAAATATACAGCAAAATTGGTAGAACATTTACATGATAATTTTACAGAATCCATAGACAGAAAGCAGTGTTTAGTATATCATTCACCTTAAAAAATATATATATAATAATATATGATCAATCATCCCATTCGTCATCATCCTCAAAGTCTTCTTCATCATCTTCATCCTCATCTTCATCTGCAAGATAGGAAAAGAAAGTCACTTGTATGCAGAGAATTAACATGATAAAAGTATTACTGATTTCTGTCACAATTTTCTGAAAAGAAAATGATCAGTTCAAGGTCGTCATGACAATACGTTTAGTAATACCCATTTTAAGATCGCTAGACATGACATCCAGTTCAGACAGTTACTAGCTGGAAGTTAAATCTAATTTTCCTCTTCTCTTACTCTTTTCCTCATGTAGGAAAAAAGTGTGTTGTTCTAGAGAAAAAGAATCAGAAGTTCTCATTTAACAGTTACTACTTATTACTCTTTCTTAAAGAATGTGCAAGTAGCCAGCATGTTCCAGACTGGCTGTTAAACTTCAGGAACAGATTAATTCCTGGAATGTAAGAACTGCTTCCCCAGCTTTACTACATAAGGGAATTTGTTTACTTTACAAGCAGATAAAAAACAGTCCCCCAAAAAACGTCTGGTGAGTTAAAGACCATCATGGATACTGGAATATTCAAAGCTGTGTAATGAATATCAACTTCAAAGTCAATGTTTGGTGACTTTATTCAGCCTTCCACTTTTTTTATATACATCACACTTAAAAAAATGTAGCCTGTTAAAATTAAACTACTTATTTGTTGGACAAGAGCATTTCCTTCCCATAAGAAAACATTGTATTTAGCTCCCTTCAGGTATTTAGTTTATATTAAGTACCAAAATTGTCAATTATTACATAGGGCAGCATATCAACAACCCATACTGCACTTGGTGACATGCTCTGCAGACTGAATACCCAATTTTGATATCAAGGCAAGCTCTAGAAATGTATCAAAGCCTAGACAGAAGAAATGTACCCAAACAGCTGCATTTCAGCTACTGAACTAAATTTATTACAAGCTGGTATTTGAGAAATGCAAATCCTCTTGCAGCCCTAATTTCTCTCAGCTCTTTAGCATGGAAAGTTGGTCCGGTCCCGATAGAAGCCTAGTCAAGTAACACTGAATATCTGCTCCTTATCCAGGAGGTGGCAGCCAAAGCCCACTGGGAACCACAGCACAGGAACTGAACACTGGCAAGAGATTTAGCATCAACAAACAGAAAATATCAAAAACTTTCTTCCAAAATATTTTGACAGCTTATTTCATCAGATAGCTAGTAAATTAAAACAAGTCAGTTGCAACAACAACAACAAAACCTTTGTAAGATAAAGCATATATGTTTTATCTTATATTATTATCTTATATATCTTTATATACAGATATAAGCAGTGTATTAACCCTGCTTAGTAACTTAATCGAGGATTACTGCAAATTGCTATACCCCAGTAGTTCAAAGCAGCATGAAGGAATCATTCAGCCCATTGCCAGGGCACTGCCAAGAGCATTCTACCCTGCACTACCTGCTGGAATTCATGCTTTTCTCCAGGAGTATTTTGTGATAAACACAAGTGTTAAGTCTTGAAAACTTGACACCATGAGGTCAGAAAAATTCCATCAGACACACCTGAAGAATGAATGGCTTTGCTCCTTTTCTGCATAACTTCCATTAACGCACCCACAATTCCTGAGGTGGGTGCAGGTGTAGGTGGTGCACTCTCCTGACCATCAGATACCTTGGAACAAAAAGGTTGCAACAGAAAGATGCAATTAGCAAAACAGAACCTCTGTATTTTGAGACAAACTTCCTTTATGGTTAATGAGTTTATTTTCCACCAGAAGAAAGTGTGGAACAGTGTTTTGGAACAGCTTGTTCCTTTAGCTCAAACTGCAAAATCTTTATTAAGAAAAGTCAACTTTTTTACCATATAGCTGAACAGCAGTTAGCTATAGCCAAGGTTAAATATTTCAGCTCTGATGAAGTGAGTACTCATCTAAAGGAAAGCTTTGTAATACAGCTGTACAGGAATGACTTGTGTGGCTGCATAACCATTATTTATTTTATCTTTGGTATGTATATACCACAAAATATTTTTCATTGTTTGGGTTTGTAAACTGAGACTGCTTTGGGCCAATAATCCCTTCTGAAGTAATTAACTTGGATAATGCCTACCTCTAATGGCAAATAAATATGAACACACCCTTACACTTTTTACAGCCAAAGCCTTGAGTGCAGAGGAGTGGTAAAAAATAAGCATAGCAGGCAATATGGTTTTTAAGAAATTTTTTTTAAGATAATCAGTGGCATCAGTAAGAAACAGTAATAGCCTATGCTGCAGCAGGGACAGCTATGACATCTCTTATGGGCAGCACTTGCAGCAACACAAGCAGCCACCTTCTCACAAGCCTCAGTATTTGCAGAATACAGGTCCATTTTAGGATGAAAATAAAAACAAACTAATAAATCTAGTGTTTGCCTTCCATTACCATTACTCCTAAACTCATCCCCTGCAGTTTAGATTATTTTACTGTATAGTCAGGAAAGCAGCAATCTTTCATAATTCTTGCAAAAGTTCTGTACAGCCATGACACTATGGCATCACCATTTGTGGATTGTAGAAATTGTAGACTGTACAAATTGTAGGATTTACAGATTTTACTCAAAAGTGAGAAATGAGTTTGAAAGGGTAATTTCTTGCACCAAGACTCATCTGTAGCAGATGTGTGTTCTTTGCATTTTCTCAGTATTACTGTTAAGGGACTGCTTCAGAAACTCTAAAACTTACAATCCAGCCCCCAAAGCAGAGCCACATTTTACTGTTCATACTGCATTTGCAAGTCCCAAGGGGACCTGGATGAGAAACAGCTTTTACTCACAGATTTCAGCTGTATACCCTGTCGTATCTGGTCTAGCAGTGCATCTCTTCCTGAGCAGGACACCGGTCGACTGTTCTGTTCTACCTTCTTTAACTGAGCTCCTTCTCTGATTTGATCCAAGAGTGCTGCTTTGTTTCCCGCAGGAACTGGAAGCTGGTGATCAACCTCCGAAGGAAGGCCTGGTGGTGGAGGAGGACCAGGAGGGGGTGGAGGAGGTGGAGGGGGTGGAGGAACAGATGACCCACTTGCTGGTGGCGGTGGGGGCGGAGGAGGGCCGGATGGTGCAGATGAGGAATGCACTGGAGGTGGTGGAGGATACATCCGGTTGGGAGGAGGCGGGGGCACTGTTGCACCAGGTCTAGATGGAGGTGGGGGTGGAGGTGCCGCTGTGGGAGCTCTTGAAGGAGGTGGAGGTGGTGCCCCTCGGCCCCTAGCAGGGGGAGGAGGAGGGCCCGAGCTATGGGGAGGGGGAGGTGGAGGTGGAGGGGGTCCTCCCCTACACGGTGGTGGCGGAGGTGGAGCTGAAATGAAACAGAACAACTTTGAATTACCTGCTGCTCAACACCTCTAAGTCTTTCAGACACCAGCAGAAAAAGAACACAGGCTGTGGCCTTGCCTTTTGCAAGGATCTCTGTGCCTGTGCAAATTTTACCAATTCTGGATTAAAGCTGATACAGCTGAATATAAGCTATGCCTATAGGGCAAATCAAGCTAAACACAGTTGTGTATCATATCAGTTGTGTATTTTGTAAAAGAGTCAACCACTGCAGGAAGCAGCGCAATACATAAAATGACTGATTAAAATTCGTAAGAATCCTGTAAAATTTTGTTGAGCTAGGACAGAACAAAATAGAAAAACTTTTCAGAAAATACACTTAAAGTGAAATACAGAATTTCCACTTTCTAATCTATCCATTATTTTGTTAGGTAATTAAAGAAGCAAGCAGTTTTTGAAGCAGTATCTTCTAGTAACAATCTCCTCCAACTAATACATTATAATGCAGCACAAACTGACTCTTAAGTCTCCTACCGAAAATTACTTACAACAATGTCTTTATGGTAGGGGCTGTCAAAAGGAAACACCTTTAGGGCTACACACAGGATCATTTCTCTGTGAAGTGGCCTTGAAATGTACTTGCTCTGCTAATGGCATTTTGAATAGCACTGTTTCATTTCCTCTTCCATTAAGCCTCTAATGGCTCATGGTACTTGAGGTTGTGTGGTTGCTATACATAATTACTTAATAATCCAGGCGGCATCATATAACTAAGAAAATTCATGTTTGATTTCACATGCCTTTATAACAAAAAGGGTATTACACTCAAGAAGATAGTTCTTTACCCCTTCTATTATCCCCTTCACGTTATTTGCAAAGAAAGCAGGCTGGCTACACTGGCATAGAGAAGGGAACATCCATAAAAATGGGATTGTGGGGAAGCAGGAGTCACTAGTACTTCAATGCCTCCTTCCCTACTCATCTTTAAAGAAAGATACTACTCTAAATCATGTATTATGCTCTTAAGGTCCACGAGCTGCTGGGTTTTTTTCCTACCCCTTCAAAAGAGCACCACAGAGAGAACTGCCTCTGAAATACCATGTATTTTCCAAGAGATATACTGCCAACATTCTTGATTTTAAAACCTGCCATTTTTGGCTGACATGGCTGTAGTTCAAGGCCACTGGAGGGCGGCATTACCAGGTGTAACAACCTGCCAAGCACTACGGATGGGTTTTTGTGATACTGAGGAGATACTTGGTGTGGTCATGGCTCCAGAGCCTCAGCTGTTCCTAGATTTTGAACACAAGGTTTAGGTTTTCCAGTGGGGAAATGGTTTATTCACATTACAACTAGAGAGATATGCCACATCCAATCTGCAGAACCAGCATTCTGCCTGTCTGCACTCAAGTGTAGTGAAATGAGGGAGGAGCAGCAAGGAAGAGCACCATTAACTTATCCTCTGTCCCTTCCCCCTAAAACAGGTGGTACAAACACAGCAAGAAAAGAATTTAAGTTTTTTTTATAATTGCACACTAACCTGTACACTGCTATTAACAATAAAGTTTGTATAATTGTATATAGATGGTAGTGACACCAAAAAAACAACCACCAGTACCAAAACTAAGGAAAGGGCAGAGAAAACAGGAAAATAATTTCCATCTCAGGAGAATGGCTTGTCTGCAACTCTCTAGTCAGCATCCTAGCAGGGTGAATATGTAAGCACAGAAATTCTTGCAATAAACACAGAAAAATGTTTTTCAGTTGAGAAAGAACACTTCAAACAGCAGTGAAGCCCATACATCAAATAACACAATTGTGGATAAATCCACTGAAATACTGGAGTATTTTACCTACCTCTATCAAAAAGCACAGAGGTAGATTATCATCATGCATATTATAGATGAGGCAGCTTTTCTTTTAATTGCATACATGCAAATGGCCATAATGTGAAGTTAACACGTACAAAATAGAAAAATAGGCATTTTAAAAATATTTTAAGCTTGTCCTAAGACTCCAAGGCAAGTCTCCTCAATGTAGTTTTAAAGTTAGCAATCTGGGATCAACAACCCTGTAAACATTTCAAACAGAGTTAAGATTCTATATAGAAGCTGACAGATTTCTTACTGAGCAAAAAATTTGTAATTGGGAGTTTTGCTTGAAGTTTAACTAGGAAGTTTGAACATAATTTTTAGTATTGCATTCAAACAGGTGCAGACTAAGGTATCATCTAGGAAAGAAATCACACAACAGCATGAATACTTTGAAGCATATGCTTAGACACCAACTCAAGTACATACCACTCCACCGAGGGGGACCTAAGGAATAAATGTAACAAGTCATTGTACCTTGATTCTGTATCTCTTCAGTCACTGAACAATTTACTCACTGCTTTCCAACTGGTAAAATTTTGCCCTAGATACATTCTTAAGAAGAGCTCTAGGCAAATTTTTGAAAGTTTGATACTGGCAGTGTAATTTTAAACTGACTTGCTATCTTCCACTAGATAATGCATCAGCTGGGGTCACATTTAAAGGTGAGGCAGGCAGCAGAGTATTTGAAATTTTTTTTGCAGCAGAGGTAAAACTAGTTCAAAACTAGTTTTTTAAATTTCAAATTAGAAAAAACCCTAACTTTAAAAAATATAAAAATTGCAGGTCAGTAGCTGTTTCAAGTCTCTCTACAGAGTGCTGCCAGGGTAAACAGGCAGCATATGTACCTGCCAGCCATCTACTTACTACCACTAAAGCTGACAATAGCATTATGGCTTCCAATATTTTAATTTACTTATAAGATTGAGATTATAAATAAATATTTAATGTACACAGTCTGAAAAATCTGTATCAAACATACTGCATAGCTTTGCATTCAGACTAAGTGCCACTGGAAATTACTTAACTGGCATAAATGTCCTTACTCCTCAGGGACAAGTACTCTCATGGATCATGCCAGAACGTTTTTACATAGTGTATAGTGTGGAAACATGATCCAGTGCAACTGCAGTGACATGAAGCCCAGAGATGAGAATCAAAAACTGCTCACCATCAACAGTTTCTACTTTAATTCTTAAGGTAAAAAATACCCTGTTAATTTTTATGTGGAAATAAAAAGAATCCCACCTTGTCTGCGCAGTTCATTTTTCACAGCCTCCACACCTCCTGTTTTTTCAATGAAATCGTATATGACCTTTGAAGTTTCTTTGTCTTTTAGCTGAGCCTCTGAAATCCCACACATATCAAACAGATTTTTCAGTTCTGGGTCTAAGTTGTTCACCTGCAAGTCAGATAGATTAGTTTTAAGTAGCTTGGAATGTGGAGATATTTTTAAAAATATCATTTGTATTAGGGGAAAAATATACCCACAAACCATATAGTTAAAAGGAACAGCAGGGTGACCTATCTGTCTCTGAATCAACTTTTCAAGTCAGAAAGTACTACTTTAGGAGGGGTAAGTACCCTGCATGAAAAACTGAAAGTTTTGAATCTTTTCCCCCCTCACTCCTCCTGCCTATTCCCTTCTACTCCAACATCTGTTTACATCACATCATAAAAAATCCCAATTTACAACTATGTAATTGTACAGTTAACTTTTTCTTAATGCAAATCTTTAATGCAAAAAGTCTCTAAAGTTTAAATCATTGTCTTCAGTAACTTATTAAATTACTTACATCAAAACCTGTGTTTGGATCCCAACCAACATGTCCAATGTGTCTAAAAAAGCAAAAAAGTCCATTTAATCAGCATAAAAAAGATCTTGTTAACTAAAATATGAGGACTCCAAGACAACCAGAGATGACTACCAGCTTCTAAGCAATTCTTATTTGTCAGTACCCCACCTGAGAATGGAATAGTAAAACCTCTTTACTTTCACTTTTTGTCTCATGTCCAGAAGACCAAGTAGATAATTTCTCTCCTTAGGTTACAATCTGTGGCCAAACATGAAGGCTTCATGCCACCCTGTGGTGCATACAGATCATGATGGAAGGACTGCACAGAAATCAAGAAGTTTAGACTTTACATAGCAACTGGACCTTGACCTACTGCCAAATTTTTCAGTGCCATGCAACTGGAAAACCTCCTCCTCCCTATCACCACTGGGTGTTCTCCTATCAGCCCTTTACCACTCACATCTCTCAAACGTAAGTCAGGACTGTTTTCAGCTGCCATCTTCCTAAGCATCTAGTAACTATTTCATGTGGCCACTAAAATATTATTTTATGTGATGCTGTAACCAGCTAGAACACAGATGAGTTTTGTGCCCCTCCAAGTTACATCACGATACTGCCACTGGATATGGAAAAGAGGGCCATCATGTTACCAGGACTTCATGTTTTCTGATTCTTTTCACATACAGTGACTTTTAGAAGCAAGATACAGTTTTCAGGAAGTACAACTCAGAGTTACAAAAAATACCAGGTGAGATGTTAGTAGCCAATGTAGTCTAGGCTTAGCTTGCTAAATTACAAAGACTGTTTGGCTGCTGTTAAACAGTGCCTTGCACAACAGACCTTCTATTCTTGCTTGGGTCTGTTTTTATCAACAGCACAAGTTTTCTTCATTAAAATACTGAAGTAAAATGATCAATTTTGGTTTTGGTATAACTGTGACTAGTTAGCTAATTTTAAGAAGCAAGAAAAGTAAAAGACCTGGTTTAAAGTGACATTATGCCATTAAAAAGGAAACCAAAGTCCCCATTTTGCCAATTACTTAAATGCTTCTACCAAACTACCAGAATATGGGATGATTTGTTAATTACAGAATTTTGAATGCTAAACTACAGCTTGCTTCACATAAATTAGACATGCATTTCCCAACAGGGTCTCACAGCTGATCACAATGTATTAACCTGGCGTAGGTAAGTTGACATTAGTTTACCAATAATATAATCTTACTCACATATATAATATAATCTTACACACATCTATGCAACTTGGGATGCTATTTTAAGAGGCTGTGAGTGTACAAATCAGAATTTAGTGCACCTAATTGCCACTAAAGTTTTATATGCCATAGTTTTAGCATTATTTTTCATTTATTTTTCACCCTTTTAGAATTTAGACAAGATAAATTACTTGTACACACCGACTGTAACGCACTTTTTCAGATCTTTTCAGTGCAAATACACTTACCACGTAACCCCAAGTCTTATGCTACTTAGAAGAATGTATACAGTAATAAGTTACATTCATGCTGAGTACAGATTGTTGCTTTTTTTCTCAAAACATTGAAACTCTACATCTGTCTAATAGAAGGCATTTAAAAATTTTATCCACCAATTGCAATTTTGATCTGGCATAAACAGTGACCATGTTGGTCTTCACAAGTATCACAGCATATCACAGCACAAGCGATACAAGTTATCCAACTGGCTTATTTGCCCAACAATACCAAGTACCAGTTTCTGTATGTTTGTACAAAACCAGCAATTAAAGTATCTTACATAGTAAGATGACACATAGCTGCTGCACTCTACAGGAAACTTAAATAGACCTTAAGCCACAAAGACTTTCAACAGACTTCTTTTGTAACATTAAATTTACAATTTAATGTTACATTTAATGACACTGAAATGTATCTTTTGTTTGAATAGCATTAAATATTTTATCATCTTACTCTCAGCTTCTCTAGGTCACAATCTGATACATAAACAATGTCTCAAAATAATTTTTTATCTATGCTGCTGCACAACCCCTTCCACAAATTCCAAACAGAGGTTTTGACAGGGTAATGCAAATTTTGTCTGCATATGCTCAAGTCTGCATCAGTAGACATCATCACAACAGTGACCAGCTACTAAGCACTCTTCATTTTTGTTTTCCTTTTCCTTATTTTCCTGTGTTTTTCCATTCAATAATGTGACTAATGTGTTAGCGTGACACACGTGCAGCACTTCACTGATACTCAGATCAGTAAGAAAAAGCCTGATGCCTGAATTTTCTACGCAGAGTCTGTTTAGGGAAGTGTTTTAGCCCACCTCTTATGTTCCACCCACTATCCCATTCCACAGAGCACTGTCTCAAAACACTGCAGTAATGTTACTGTAACTAGTAATGTCAATATTATTTTAATGGAATTTTATTCTGGGAAAACACATCAGTGCAATGATGCATCACACCAGTTCAAAAGAATAAGACATTCTCTTGGCATGTAAGCATCACACTGGTTTTCTCATGCTTCACAGAAACGGATCTCTCCTGTAACTAACTCAAGCTCTTCAAATTCCTGTTGCTTCAGCAAATAAAGTACATTAATTTTAAAAGGCATAAGATTATTATGTCAATTAATGTTCATGAAAGCAACAGTTAATTGAGTAAAGTGATCAAAACCAAGTTTCATGAAAGTGAAGCTTAAAGTGATACACTCTTAACTACTCCAAAAGATTAAAGATACGTAAGAAATGACAACAGGAAAAATTCCTGAAGGGTGTATGCTGTACTTTCATCACAAGATACAGGTCCCAGCCTACACATCAGAAAAAGTTTGTAAACAGAAAGCCAAAGATAAAATGATGGCAAGTAATTTCAGCAATTATTACAAGTCAGGACCCAAATATGTATTTCACATGACAATGCACAGCTAAATATGCACAGGTGTAAGAATCACAGTGTTGAAGAGTTGACCACTGAGGGTGAATGTGTGTGTGTCCACTGAGCTGACAACTTCAATAAGCCACCTCTATGCAGCAACAGCGTTTTCTAAGCTGATTTTTGATAGCAAGTTACTTTTTGTTTACAGCTGCAGGAAAATCTTCATCTGTGCATAAGCTAGCATTTACTTCGTTCAGGTTACACAGATTTAAGAGTTGGCCACTTTCAAGCGTAACTGACACAAAAAAAAAAAAAAAGTCAGAAAAGCAAAATGCCAACATCACCCCAGCCCACCATCTCAGACAAAAAAAAATCCCACCCATTCAAAACCAAACTCTAACTCGAGAACATACTTACTGGAAATTAGATGGAGTCCCAATATCTGCCTTCGTCAATCTTCTCTTTTTAGTTTTTCCTTTCTTTTTTTCTTTGGTATATGAAATATTGTTGACTTGTGGAGTATAAAATCTGTTAGTTGTAATTTCTGGGTTTTTGATATCAACAGTTGCCATTGGTAGATTTGGACCTGTGGAAGTCAAGTACAGGATTTTTACTGCTGTGTTTTACCAATGCCATGCTCAATCCACAAACTTTGGGAGTTGTTTTTGAGCTGTAGAATACCTGTACTCTAGGTGTAGCTCTACATGCCACATGCATCCAGAAGGGTTCTGAATGTCAGATGCATAAACTAAGATATTTGATGAAAAAAAAAAAAAAGTTGCTAGAGCAGAGCAACAGGAATACTTTCTGAACTACAACTTTTTTTGCCACATGCACAGAACACATGGAATGATGAGATACATTAAGTAAGATACAACATGGCTACATCCTAGATAGGATCAAAGATGTGACTTTCATAAACAGTTAAACCCAAAGAGCCAGCAGGCCATTACCTGGGTAGCACATTAAACTGATCTTTCAGGAGACAGAATCTTCATCTAATAAGCCCCAAGTGGGAATGCCCTCTGCCAGCACACACAGAAACTGAACATCACAACAGCTTCAGAAGGCTGCTCTGGACACACTACTGTCTTCAAATATAGGACAATATCTGTGGAACTATTCAGGATTTCTTGTCTTACTCTTTGACAGGTTTTCAAAACAGTAAAGTCCCAGATAAGAAACAGCTTTCAGAGAGAGTAAAAAGAGCAATAGAAATACAATTCATAATTTGTGTGTTTCATTTATGTTCTCAAACTTTGTTCTTAATTAAAATAATTCTGAATTATTATTCTAGTTATTTTAAATGCATCTGAATTATACTCCTGCCAATTTTACCATTTTAATATTACGTTACTTGTGTAATACCAGCAAATGAACATATCTAGCACATGTTCCACTCAGGTTTTTGGCTTTGATAGAAGATAACTCTTAATCTTAAGCAAGTGATAGAAGTACTAAAATACTAAGGGCCACTTTATGCATTTATCATATATATACATATGTATACATACATATACACACAGGTGTATTTTTAAAGAAACCGACAAAAACGGTAAGTAATTTCAGTTTTGGAAGAATGCGATTAAGCAGGTCATTTAAAAATAGTTTGGCAAGAAACAGTTTGAAAACATTCCCTACCTCCCTGTGGAGTTAGGACCCAGTGGTTAGCAAATCAACTAAAGTCAGACACAGTCTTACTGGGCAGATGATAAAAAAATGTTTCATTAGACTTTGATAAACCTGAACCTTGTTTTGACACTATCTTTTCATAGGTGTATTCAGAAAGAACCAACAAGCTTTATGCTCACAGTCCAATATAAAAAACCAGAAAGGACAAGTAGACAACACAACAGATAACACAGCTGACACCTGCTACACATCTCAGTGGGAAGCACCTAGTACTGGCTACGGCAAGAAACAAGAACAGAAACATGACTCTGGGCTAGACAAAACTCATCTAAAACATCATAAAAATTTCAACACTCCTGTAGGAATCTTAAAGAACAAGATTAAAACTGCATTGAAACTGCATGAAAAAAAAATTCTAAAATGTTTCCTGCTAAGCTGAAATGCTTTTATCTAGAAATGTTTTGATCTAGACAACTGCCCTTTGAGAATACCAAAACATAAACTGACAACAGAAGTCTACACAAAACAATTTGTACTGTTAGTGTTTCATTTAAAATTATTAGAATTGAATTGACTAATCATCAAGTATTATCAACTCTAAACTTAATAACAAAGTTCAGTAAAATCTTCAGAATTAATTGACAATTAAAGTCTTAATTTCCTTGGTACAGAACAAAAACCACTAGGAGTTAACCTTGACTTTAATCACCTATTACATTTTCTGTTACATTCTGCCCATTTTCACCTATTATATTGGTATTTACAGTTTCAATAGCTGTACTGACATTCAAAGAAGAAACAGGTACCTTTATAATGCTAATAAGTTGGTGATACTCTTCTCTCAATTTCTAATAGTCTTTGAAATGCATTTTTTTGTATATAAAATCCTGAACTAACCAAACATGGTCAGCTGTACGTAAAGCAGCAGCAATTTGCAAACAGAAATTTTATTCAGCTGAGCTAAAATCAAGGACTGATAGCCTGATTCCTTAACAATAATATTCATACACAAGGTCACTGAAAATTTAAAGATGAAAATTTTTCTTACCGTCTGGTTTAGACCTTAGCTGTCCACGAGGGATAAAAGAATCTTGGAAAGAATTGTACTCCTCTAGAACTGCCATATTTATATCCAGTAAAATTTTTCCCATCATTAAACATGCACCTTCCCCAGCAGGTGTAGACAGCTCAATAAACGAAGATGAGAGAGGCATATAGAGCTCATCATTAGGAAGTACCTGACAGTACAGTGGCTTTAAGCATCCACTGTTATCAATATCTGTGACATCTTCAGAAGGGGCTCCAGAAAATGTTGTACAGAACATTTTGAAATGTTAACTCTAGTCTGTATTTTATTTAGAGCCTCTCTAGGTATCTGTCCCAGACTACAGACAGCCCTACAAGAAATGCAAACTGTTCTAGTTAACAGCTGAAACAAAATTCTGCCACATTGGTTCTTCAAGATTCCCTTAAAACCTAATAGTCTGACAAATCCTCATTTCATCCAGCACTTCACTATGAGGTCAGTTCAACCACAGTAATTCTTCTTTATTTGCATAAAGAGACCTAGCTATTACAAATGAGTAGAACACAAATCCCAGGAAATTACAGACTAAAACATTTTACATAACTGTTAATGCCAATTTGAGTTTAATCCTGCAATTCTAAAAAAACCCTAAAAAACAAAAAAACAACAACAAAAAAAAATCTTAAATCCCTACCATTGAAAACGTCATACAAAACACCAAGTGCTTTTTCCATGCAGCTTCAATGTATGCAGAAAATAACAAACCCCAGTAAAACCTAATTCCTCACAGTATTTCAGCTATGGGTCATGTGAGTAAAGAAATGTGACTGTTCTTGTTTTTCAGTTTTAGAGCAATTAATGCATTAAGACCCAGCACAAAAAAAAAAAAAAGAAAAAAAAAAAAAAAAAAAAAAAAAAAAAAAAAAGAGGTGCTTTAGCTTTTCTCCCCAACAGAATTTCTGAAAAGAAACTGCATATAGAGAGTAAAATAAAATCTAGCTTTTATTACAACAGGTGCATTTTTTTCTTTTTTCTTCTGGTTACATGCTGTTATGTATCTGCTCTAGTCTTAATTCCAAATACTGAAATGTGAAGTCTGTGTGTAGGGTGTAACAAACTGAAGCTATAACCCATGCCCTGACCACATCTTATCTGTGACTACTGAGGACACAGCCACACAGCTTTTCATCAGCAGAGAAACCAGGCATTAAAGAATTTGATAAAATCAGAAAAGGAAAAGGTTTTGACAAGTTTTGAAAGACTATGTGGATGTCCCAGGGAGACAGTTTATTAAAAACAGATGCTGAAACCTTTTAAGTGATTAGAAATCTGAAACACTGAGTATAAACTCTGCCTTCCACAGAACACTCAGGATAAATTCAGCACAGGGACAATGACTCTAAGTTTAGCATGAGAGAATTTTTCTCAGAAAAATATTATTCCCAAGGTCTTCTAGCATGAGTTATGGAGAGCATTTTAAGAACAAAAGTTTTTCCAGCCTTAGTTTTCTTAAATCTTACTCTGTTCAAGGATAGAAAACTAGACCAATAAATTGTTTGTGTTATAACAGAGACAAAAGCTAAATCCTTTGTGGGAGGCGTTACTACATGATCACCACTACTGATGTAATTCTCATCTGCTCTGCAGACATTGCTATCAGGGATGTGCTGTTTAGGTGAACAGAGCAGTCAAAACCTTCTGAAAGCTCAGAAAGCTTCACATATGGTATTACTATAAGTGTTCCAAAACTTAACAGCTCAGTCAAAGTTTAATCTATACTAAAAATGACTGACCTAAATTGATGATTGCCTGACATTCCTCAAGACTTAAGCATTTATGAAAAAAAAAAGCAATTTTTTGAGGAGGACTTCATATGAGGGAAGTTTTATCTGTGTATATAAAAGGAATCATTAGTTATCATAATTCAGGATTAGTTATGAATTACCTATTTTGGTGATCAACAGAGAAATGCCTGAATGACTTGGTTAGGACAAATTTTTAGGCTATGACCTCAAGTCATAAGCAGATTTCAAAAGACCAGTTGACTCTACCCTTGCTCAAGCAGGACACTCACAGATACATGCTATGACCTATGATCTAGATCACTGACAGAAAACACAGACAGGTGAAATCATTTTTTAACTTCAGTGTGAATTCAGGAATGAAAACCACCAAACTTGATATTCATTGATGTGCCTTTTTCACGATTTTAGAACGGACGGTAAAAAAGTTCTGTATCAAACTGATATCAAACTGATACACAGTTTGATTCCTTCCATCAATTTAATAAGAGGATCTCCTGAGGAACCTGTATCTTCATGCTAGTGAGACATGATCCTGAGAGGCAAGGAGATTCAAATAATTCTTGATGAACATATGACATAAACCCGAAAGACCATGTTACATATTTAGCCAGATACACTGAAATTGAAATATTATATTCTATTAAATCCATCATTATTATGCCTGCCATTAAGACAAATGGACAAACTTTGTGCAGTGATCCTATACATGCATATTCTGAAGATCAAGCAGCAAATGCAAGGTACAAAGTTTTCGTCTCAGTTTAAGCCGAAGGGCCCTCTCTCCCACTTGCAACAAAATATGTTCCTCCAGAAACATTCTTTACAAATGCCAGCTAAGCCACAAAGTTTTCAAGCCACAACTAAACAAATACCAAAGAACAGAAACAAAAAGAATACTGTAACCTCCAGTTTACTGCTTTGTCACTACATTTGTCCTAAACAAATCTGAAACAAAGCTGTACATAAACAGTAAATGAAAGCAGAAGGAAAAAATAAAATGCAGTGATTCATAAAAAAGGCTTACCATTTGGAGGGTCTCGTCTTTTCTCTGTTGAAAAAGAAAAAAAAACTTTTAATCACAGGTATCGCAGGAAAAATTGATTCTAAATTTTAGTCTCTAGCGAAGCTTTCTTGCAATGACCTTGACCTCAAACTTAAGAATCTATTAATATCCTTAGAGTCCACTAGTGCAGTTGAAAAGAAGTATTACAGAATAAAAAAATGCCAATCTTAGATAATAGACACTGATTTCAAGTGTACAAACTGAGCAGGAGCACAAGGTAATAGTTACTGACTTGGTTTTGGGCATTTCAACTATGAAGTAGAGTGAAATATTCAAAAAGTGTCTGTTTTAAATACAACCTATCAAAGTAAGATTTTTGAAGCATTATACTTTCTGATGTCTACTGAATGAAACTGTTCTTTCATTTTAATCTGAAATGTAATTAGCACTTTTATAGAGTACTGTTTCCTCACAGAACCTAAACTTTAATTAATTTTTGCTTTATGCATAAAAACCAGAACACAGAGGGGCAAACGCTTTACCTATGATATTCAAGGTAACTGAACAAAATGGAAAGAACTAGAATCTCCTTGATATTATGATATTCTATGCACAGCACCACAGTGTTTCACAGGCTGTGAAGAATCTGGCTAAATGATTTAAAATGTAATATTCAGTATTCTCAGCTTATAAATTCCCCTTTAAAGTTCCTCAGTTACTATTAATTCCTATCCACCCCCAGTATACATTTACACTATTTGTGTATCTATACACACACTCTAAAGACCTTTGGATTCAGCAGCAGCCATAAAGGCAAATAGTTTATCATCTCACTACCACAAAAGCCACAGCTCTGTAAGGATCTGTATGTGTAGTTTAATAACAGGGGCTCCCAAGAGTTGTATAATCAGAATTTCTAACAGGCACTTCACTTTCCAGCAAGCCCCAAAAACTATTAACTTGTTACATTTTTCCAGACTCACAAACATAAGAAGGGATAGAGTACCTCCACAGATAGTGCTGACCTTGTCCTAGGAATACTTAAAACCAAAAAAATACAATCTTAAGTATGCAAGTCAGCCTCATGCCAGTCTGCTAATCTTTAGGTAGGAATAAAGGGATCTGTCAAGATTATAAAACCTTCATGGGAAGTGACCAAAACCTGTTGAGGATCAACTTTTGATGAACAAGCTTTCCAAAGACAGTTGATTTTTAGGTCACAGCAGGTTAGTTTCAGGGATAGAGAACCTCTGCAAGGGTGCCTCAGGATAAGGCAGAGGGTCTGAGGTGAGAAAAAGATAAAAGGCTTTTTGGCTAAGTGCTGTGCTCTCTCTTCCTACAAGATTCAGTTTGAGAAACTACATCTGGTACTGTGCCCCAGAAATAAATTAAAAAAATCAACCCCAAATTCAACCTTTGGACCATAATCTAGTTCTAGTCAGCAACACAGAGATGGCAAAGGAGACTCCAGGACTGGTTGCAAGTCATCTGTCATAGGATGGGAAGATGGCAAAAGCAAGAGGCATTCATAGGAAGTGTTAGGTGGCCTTGAGTCAAGTCATGGGAATCCTTTACAATCTTCATTATAACAAATAGCTCTAGAGAAAAAATAGTGGGAAACAGAACAAAATATATATACACTTCCTGTAATTTTTACTGGCTAGATTAATTTGTGGCCCAAAGAGAATAGTTCTGTTTTTCTGCGGTTACCACTGTTGACAAGAAAGTATGAACTTTTGTTCCTGAAGTGCAGATGACTTGACGAGAGTGGCAGATTTTCCAGTTTTTGAAGATGAACATGCCTACTGATCTAAAACAGATGAATATCAGCAGCTGCCTACGTACAGAAAACACAGCTCCCTTCAATGAGCATTCCTGGAAATGAGAATAATCTCTGCCAAGACTTGAATCCAATGCATGCTGAGCAGGTTAGAAATGTCCTTGTCACCCAGGCAACAAAAATAGAAGCTGTGACCAAAGATGAGAGAAAAAAACCAGAGCAAATCCCTCTCCAAATGAAGTATCTACCTTGAAACTTATTTAGTCCATTATGAAGGTACTCAGGAGCTAAAAGCTTGTGAAAGAAAGAAGCAGTTTCATGAAAGGTTAACAGAGCTCCCATCCATGAGCTACAAGCAGTACACAAAAATTAGTCAAGAAGCCTCCTGTTTCAGAAAGAACTACTTGCAGTTAAGAACAAAAGTCTGTTTCCCTTTCAAGGATGAGTGCTCAGCATAGGGAGAAGGCACTTGTGTCTGCTACACAAACATTTTTGAGGCAAGATAATAAAAACTAATGATATCTATGTGCACTACCTGAACTGAGCATGTACTACAGTGACAAGCCCTGAGAAAACACACAATGTGTTCACCCTGTTTACTGGGGAACCTATCTGGGATTGGTTTAAGAAGTAAATGGAGAGATTATTTAAGTAAATCTACAGACAAATTAATGTATTATAGTAATTTTTTTCTAACCTAAGGTTAAGAATCTAATTGACTAAAGAAAAAAAAAAACAAACAACTCAAAACTGAAAACACAGAACCTCCAAAGCCTCAAAATCAAAAGGCCAACCCAAACCAGAGTTTATCTAGATTAAGCCCTGCACTATTACAAAGATTAGGACAACAGATCAAGAATTTTCTCTCTACCTTTGTTCCTCATTCTGTTCTCTACTTGATATTTACAAGCTTTTATACATTTTCTGCTTGGAGCCAAACTTTCACCTCTCTGGAACTCCAGATGCACTTACTCAGGGGTTGTCTGTATACTGGAGTGCATCCCATGCTGAGTGAGGAAGAGCAGAACACTGTTGTGTCTCCTCTTAGCTGTCAGACAGTGTTTTATATACTATCCTCAGCACCAAGTCATAGCTTTGTGAGCCAGAACTGCTGTTACTGCTACCTTTCAACAACCTAAGTTTTCCATAAAACTCTTGGAGAAGTCTCCTAGCAAGCCCTGAATGGCATAACAGGCAGATAAATGATCACATGGGATACTTAGCTGAGTTGAAAGCATCTCAAGTGGCACTGCTATGAAATGAAACACAGTTTGGAAAGTATTAACGTAAAAATCCCATTAAAACAGAAAAGCATCAAAATTATTAGACTGTTACCTCAGTAAGAAATTAAGATGTATTAATATTATAAATTACATACAACTCTGGTACCATATAAATCTATATATAAAATAATATATATTTTATATAAGCATTTATAAAAAACCGAAAGCATAAACACCAACAGCAAATCAGCTCTGATTTGAACAGTGTAAAGCCTGTTATTTTAGAAGCGCAATTAGTCACAAGGACAAATACAGAACTCCATCTGGTGGCTTGACTAAGGAATCTCGTAACTGTTTTAAATTCTTGGTTTGCAGCTCTTAACAAGGAAAAATCTGAATGTTATGTTTTGAGGGTTATTATTTTTTTTCCATTAAATTTTCTTTTTTAAATGAAAGCTATCTTAAAGTTGCAAGTGTTTGGGGAGGCGGAAGTGTTAAAACAATATACGAAGTAACGTGACCTTTACCATACAAACCAAGATATTAGTTCAGAGAGTAAACAAGAAAAACTTAATGTGGTCCTGTGAAAAAAAAAATCACTATGTGGAAGAAAAACTGCAAACAGAAAGTTTGAGTGAACCATTATTTTCCAAGTTTGCTATGGCCAATAATACAAACATACTTCTTCCCACATCATGTCTGTGCATTGTAGCACTGTGTTTCAGACATGTAATAGAGTAAAACTTCAGGAACAGTAGATGCGAAATTACTTTTGCAACGTGAGTATGAGAAATTTCATAACTGCCACTTCTTAATGATCCCACTTCTCATGAAACTTTATGAACTTATTCTGAGCTGAGGGAATCTTAAAAAAGTCATTTACGCTCAAGGATCAAGTGTTCTGCTCCTGAGTCACCATGCTTTGGTGAAATCCAAGTGAATACATTCAGGTAATGCACATTTGCAAGAGTACTTGCAAGGGCAGGTCTCCAGGATGAAGGCTTGCTCCTTTTTAAGTAGTCTCACTGCATTACTAGTATGATTCCAGAATGGATTACAAAAATGCATCCTGTAGCTTGCACACAAGTCCACACTACATCTTACAGCAAGCCTGATCATATCAGCTTGTTCCAAGCCTGTATTTTGTATCACTACCCTTCATGGACATATGGCTGTCAAGACAGGAAAGTTGTTTATGGGTTCCCTGGAAAATGACCAAGACCAGATCTGTAGGAAGTCTGAGCTGCCTTTAAAGCATTAACCACGTTTCCAAGGCATCTTGCAGCTGGCAAAAAGCATGCTGTGCTTCACTGACTGTCCTGTGCTGCTAAGGACAGTATAGGCACATTATGTCTTCTGTTCTTGTCCTGAGCCAAGATCACTAGTTCTGAATAAAAGATACTTCCCTACTAACTGTTGGATCAATGCCAAAAATTCATGAACTACTGAACATACCAGATGGTAAATTTTTTGTTACAACCCATTTGGGCTGAATTTAACCGACCAGTTATAAACAGCCCAGGGCTAAAAGAGGGTTTATTCAAATATGAAAACAACTTAGAAAAAGATTACTAGTTTTCCCAATGTCAGCTTACAATTTTTGTTTCCCCCAATCTGTATTTTCAAATCACAACCTTGGGATCTCAGCTTACACACAGTCTTACAGAACAGAACATCAAGGTGGGTTGTTTCAGGAAAGTTCCACAATAGAGAAAGAAACACAGTTTAACAGCATAATTACTTCAAAATATAAATATGGCAGTAGTGCCTCCAGAAGCTTTCAGACAGACACAGCAGTGTCTTCCTGCCTCCCCCCCCAAAACAACATAAACAAGCCTGAAGTTAAGATTAATTTGAATATTTACCAGATTTTCTCTGCCGTCGTCCAAGTAAATCTGTTACTGTTTTGCGGAATAGTTTAGCTTCTTCTTCATTAGCAAAATTAAGACCAACTTGACATGTCTGAAAAACATTAATATTTCCCCCCCCATGACTAAGATAATGTTTTAAAGGCTTTCTTAAATACTGTCTTATGCCCTTCTAAAGATATAAAAAGAAAAAAATCACTGCAAATTTGGAACCAAGTCTTAGTGACATGTATCTTAGGAATGTCTGTTTACTAATCAAGTTTCTAAAGATCATGGATAACAGATATGAGCAAAATCTTGTAGCTTCAAATCAAAGAGGGGAAAGGAAAGGAAAATTTGTGTTTTAATTTATGACAAGATATATCATAAATATTATCTCCAAGTCAGAAATTAGTTTTATTAAAGAAAGTTGAAAATTAAGAACCATGCTTTATACTCCTGTACTATATGTTAAATTTTCTTGTTGAGATATCACAAAAATTCCTTTAATAAATAAGCTTTTACAAACAATTCACAGAATTAATTAATAACCTCAGTTACATTAAAAGAAGATACTGTTCAAACCAAAGGCATTTTAAAACAGGTATTCAAAGACATTGAGACTCACATCTCCAGCAAAGGTATGAAAATATCCTCTAGGACTATTATATACAAAGTTATTGTACAGCTCCTGCTCCCACAATAATTTCCCATCCTGAAAAGAAGAAAACAAACAAAAAAAGAAATGAAGAGATGATGAAAACAAGCAAAAAAAAAGAGATGAAATTACAGAGTTTAACTTATTTTACAATAGAACCTATTAAGAATTGGACACAGCATAGTGTTTAACATCTGCCTTGCTATTAACCCAATGGATAAGCTGTATCAAAACCAAAGTACACCAGAGCTGTGAAAGTCTATTCCATTGGGTCACTGTATTTGGTTCAAATTCCTGGATGTCTCCGAAAACTTCTTTCAAGTTCTACAACCCTGCAACACATACTGAGAGCAGTAATAGTGACCAGTCACAGGAATATAGCAATAAAACAGCAACAGCAATAAAGGAGGCTTCCAATCTCCTTATCTCAGGCTTAACTTGAAAACAGTTAACTTAGAGAGAACAAAAATCTAATCTTTTTAAGAAGTCTCATTTATTTAAATGACACTATAGTTCATCACCCAAGGAAGAGATTTCTGACAGAGTCTTGATAATCAAGTGACCAAATCACAAAGTCAAATGCAAGGGCCACCTGGCAAACCTGAACAAATCTGAGAGACTCCAAGCACTGAATGCTGACAGATAAGGAGCTGTTTCCTGGCTGCAGAGATAATGGGAAGCTTTCCAAAGTCTCAGCACATTCAGTAGGGCTTAGGTTTCTCAGCATCATTTTTATTATGAAAACACATCTTGGACACTTTGTCTCTCAGTTCCCACTCCCGAGTGGAATATTATAATAGGACAAAGATCTTCAGTGTGAGTATTTTTTGTGGAGGGGGGAATGAAAGAAAAAGCCACCCACCCCACCTGAAAGTCAGAACACACAACTTGTTTATCCTACAGTTTTCACATGCAGCACCACAACGATCAAAAAGATTGTTTCCACCCACACATAAGACAGCATCTATTTTCTTAAACCATCCAAAGTAGTGACACCTGCTAGAATTTAGACAGCTATCCTTATCAGTGACACTGTACTAATTTCCACTAATGTGACTAATCAGATCTGTAGAGAACAACTTCTGAGAGCCATAAAAAAAAAAAAAAAATATTTCATCCATTAAAGATGACATATATGAAATTGTTTTGAGTACCTGAAGAAGTGCAATAGCCTATTGATAACATCTGCATTGCTTAAAGCACAACCACTTACTTGAGAATGTCTATGAATGCATACCCAACAACCTATACTCATTGAATTCAAAATGGAGAATTAATACAACCAAATTTAAAGGCTCTGAAAAAGAAAAAAGATGCTTACCTTTATGTCAAATATTCTGATAAAATACGACCTCTGCGGATTGTCCTTTACAAGGCAAGCTACACCACAACACTTCTTTGACCACATGGCATTGCGATCTGCTGCGTATATCTGAACAACTGCTGAAGACATCGTCTGAAAAGAAAAGGTAGCTATTACTTTTAAGGAAAAAAATAATAAATCCTATAATTGATCCTTTCTCAAAGCATCTCTTGGTTTTGTCCCTTGTTCTAGGCAGCAATTTTGCTGATTTCCCAGGTAGATAACACCGTAAGGTTTAAATGACCCCAAATCAGTCCTATGCTTTAGATTTTCACTCACCTTACGGACACAAATTAACTTTTCATCCTTTTTCATGAAAATAAGGTTTTAGCAAAGAGATTTTGCCTGTAAGAAGTAGACCAGTAACTATAACAGTCTATAACACAGAGTAGCCCTACTGTGCAAGGAAATGTCTGTTTAGTACTTCAAACTCAATACAAACACAATACTCAAGATGAAACTGTAAATTGCACAGTGCCTGGACATACTCCTGGGTACTGGAATGCAATTGGAATACATTGCTTAATTGTTTAAGTGATCTCTGGCACAATTTTAACCTATGCCAACTAGAGAACTCCGAAAATTTCTGGGCATGGTTTGAGAATTCACATGAGCTAGGCTCATTCCCAGCTGGCAATCAGAAATTGTCCTGTTTTCAAACTGAGAAATTTTAGTGAGATGAAGATTATTCCAAACCAGATTGCTTCAGTAGCTAGAACATTCTTGAGCATATTTTCTAGTATGTATGTGTCTTTTACCTTAAGAGTCCCATAAGGAAAGGAAAATGGAAGCCCTTGAAGAATGTTTGTTTAGAAGCAAAGTCATAAGGACACAAAGCTTAAATGATCTGTAATGGGCCAGACCAGAGTTATCTAGCCTAGGTTCTACATTCCAGCAGCACCAGATGCCAAAAGGAGGTAAGAATACAAGAATATACCATTACAACTATGCAAGCATATCCCCACGAAATGCCAGGTTGGAGCTCAAAGCTTCCCAGGACAGCAGCACATACTGTGTTTTTCCTTTGTGAATTTGTCTATTCACTCTTCAGACCCATGTGAAATTCTGAGCATGATAAGACAGGACTGTGTTTCAGAGTTTTCTAATGCACTGGGCAAATAATTAGCTTCTTTTATCTAGACTTTTGCCACCTGCTAGTTTCAGCTGATTATCCCTTGTTATTATTACACTAAGAGATAGTATTGATGGCTTCACAGTTATTCCTTTATGCTGCACATGCTTTTATAGATATTTGCCACACTTTTTTTGCCTCTATGCTCTCTTTAGGAAGTTTAGGAAGCAACACTAGTTTTGTGTCGTTCTTGTACCAAGAAAAAAAAAAAATAAATCACACTACACATCACCCTTGTCACTCTTACATGGATATTAACTAGTCCTACTATGTCCTCCTTTGAGTGGGGATGAGACTTATGCTATATGAATACAGTTTGTTAGCCCTTTGAACATAGGGTCACAATAATAGCTTCCTGCTTTGTTCTCTACTTATTTCATTATCAGTCAAAAAGCTGCATTTCCTTTATCACTATGAAATATTAAGCAGATGTTTTCTTCGATCTGTTATAATTCCAAGACCTTTCTGGATGATTTATACCTGATCTGAGTAATGGACTCCCTGATAGATTTTCCCTACCTGCTCAACAAGGATTACTTTGCCTTCATCAACACTGACTACTTGCCAAAACAGTAGACATCTAGAATGCAGGCATGTCTTCTTGCATTATAAAATTATCTACTAAACATCACTGTGACCATGGTCATACTTTTTAAATGGCTTAAAACCCCCTAAAATAGCCTAAGTTTCACTAGTTTTTTTTTTAAATCAAAAAAGCTTCAGTTTTGTTCAAATAGAGTCAACATAATATAGTCAGACTGACAGCTACACCTTAGGGAAGCTACATAAACTTTGCCCAAGCACTGTGATGCTAACTTTCACAAGTCAAGATATAATTCTGTTTCTCTTTGCAGCACCTCGTCAGAAGTTGCCAGACTGACTACTAGTCTTGCTGGTAACCTACAGAAGAAGTTAAAGCATGATTGTTTGATGAAGAGTGCTTTGTATTTGCTTCCTCAAATGCTCTTCAACTATGTGTGGAGTAAAACTTCTCTCCCTATAATCTACAGAGTAATATGAGTAATTGAATCATAACTGCACTTGTCAAATGAGTAAAAAGGGACCTAAGAATTAGCTATACTACCATAACAAAACAGTTATATCTGCAACTCTGTGCCATCCAAGAGATGCCATTTTCCCCTCTATGTTGCAAACAGGCAATGACCTAATTTTGGGCACAGCGAAGCAGATTTTGTTCAAAATCTCTGCTTCTCTAACAACCTAGTTCCCCTCATTTCTCCAATATTGTCTAATTGTTAAATTGGTAACCTTGTAGACACAAGACCACACACAGGAACAAAATGGGCCATTCTACAGTTCACATTTAACCACAGCAACTATCTCACCACCCCTGCAAGAAACCTTCTTAACACTCCAAGAAAAGTGTTGGAGTTAGCTCCACTAACCTCTACCCAACAGGACTTCTCACATAAATGAGTGGTCTTGGCAGGAATTAAATTCAAGGCACAGGAGACAGTGACCTGTGTCAAGGCACAGATCCCTATGCATTGCTCATTATCATATCTAACTGCAAAAGAACCAACTGGATTATCTGGGTAAACCAGTAACTGTCGTAACTCAACAGCTGCTTATAAAACCTTGAACCAACACCTACCTCATGAGTACAAAGAAGAATGTTACACAGAGTGTGTCCTCATTCTGCATAATCATAATATATTTAATGTATACTTGGTTACCCTATGACTAGAGTTTGATTTACAAGTTAGGAAACAATTTCACTGAATCTAAAACAGGTTTGTTTTGAGGTCTACCAAGTTTACAGTTCTCATAAGTTTTGTACAAATTCCTAGTGTTGACAAGCTGTAATGAAGATTTGCATGTTATAATATAAAGTTACAAATTCTGCTGTTGTACCATTCAGTTTTTTTTTGTTAAAAGGGCAATACAGGAAAAAAATACAAAGTGTATTTTCAGGGGCAGAGGGAGTAGGACAATAAAATCCAGCTCCTTTTACTTCATCCCCTATTCATTTTCATTATGTGGAGCAGTGGTGCTGTTCAGCTTCTGGAACAAAGATGGTAAAAGTAATCATCCACACCATTTGGAAATTTACAGACTCACAGTGAAATTTAAAACTTGAGAAAATAAAATTCATCTACCACTATTCAGTTTGAATCCTAGCCACATAAATTCAATTTTTAAAGTTAAAATTTAATTGCATAATTGCAGCATCAGAGAACATTTACACAAATATCATAATTTGAGTACTCTACAGTATTTACTGAGTATTCACTGCCTATTTTGAAGCCAAGTAATATACTCAGCTCAGTTTCTCACAGCATTCATGAAGAGAATCTTGCATTTGAAAGTATGGGTTCTTTTATATGTAAACGTTTCTTCAGAGTAGGCCAGACCACAGATTCATTATAATGATTGTATTTTTTTATGACATGTAGTAGGTTACTTTGTTACTACTGTATTTTAGTAGTAGGAGGAGGATTTTGAAGCTGTCACTACTTTTTTTAAAGCATTTTGGTGAGGACCTTGTCCTTTTTACATAGCTGTATATTTAGAAAAGGTGCATAGAGGAAAGAAATAAGGTAGTTCACCAAAAACTGATGGCCATGGCGGTGAAAAACAATCCTGCTCAGTTCTCTTTACTTTTTCCACAGTCAACCTCCACCTGGAGGACATACCATTGATTCCAAGAACCTGTCACACACCCTTCAAGCTGATGAGCCATGAAGCAGTAAGTCTGTGCCGTCAACAGTGCCCTAGCTGTCTCACTGGAAGAGCTGGTCCTACCCTTTGACCCATACCACAGGATATGTGGTATCAACAAAGGGCTCACGAAAACACCTTCTGCCTGCAAAACTTAGCCACAACCACTCATCACACATTTGCAGAATGTGATCACAGCAGCCATTGACAGTTTCTGACTGGGCAGTAGATAGCTGTGTACTTTGATTGGCTTCTGGTGTGAACATTTGCTACAGTGGCCTGTCAAGTTAATGACTAGCTGTAACTCAAGTGTTTCTCAAAAAACAGTGAAGCAAGCCAACACAGACGGTGGCACATCTCATTACAAGAAAGAATCATTACAATGCATGGCTTATGGCTGACAGACATTAAAACATAGCAGGCTGAAAGTCACAACAAAGAGTGGCAAGCAAGATTAAAACTGCAAGATATTCAGCCACCTCAGTATACACCAGAACAGAAAGCAAGACCCATTGGGATGGTTTTTTGCAGTGCTTACATACAGTTGACAACAGGCTGTGGTGCAAAGATCAAAGACTCATAAAACAACTTTGGTTGGATGTGACCTCTGTAAGTCTTCCAGGCCAAGCTCCTGCTCCAAAATGGGTAATGAAAAGCCTAGAGTTCATATGTTCATTTTGCAGTCCAGTTAAGTTTAAGGGCTAGAAAATCACCTATGTGCTTAATCACTCCCACCTGGGTGCTTGTACAAACCTGTCTAGGTTTCATGAATTTCTCTAATGGCTCAGTATCGTTGTGTCACATGTTGACAATACCACTGAAGACACACGCGCATTAACTCTCAACCTTTTCCCAATTCTAAGAGTGATGTTTTTTTTTCCCATAAAGGTGCAAAACCCTGCATACACACATAACCTGATCACAGACGATAGGGCTTGCTTTTCTGAAATTACCATTCCCAGCCCCTGAAAGTGTCTTACAGATAAAACCAGGAAAAAAAGATTTATGATGAATAGTTGTGTGCAATCCAAACCCTGTAAGAACAGAAATCAGTATTTCTATTCTCTTTTCCATAAAGCAGGTATCTGGAAACGTTGTCCTAATCAATACTAGAGCTGGCGCGAAGGCACCTATGGCAGGTATTTTTAAGACATGCTAGACCAGATGATGCTGGGTGCTCCTGGGTCCCACATTTCTTCTTTGGTATGAAACCAGGAAGATAACCCACAGTTCACTTCTAGGGAAACTGTTCAAAAATAAAGGGGTCTGTTGCTATTCACAGACACTACAACAGTGGTAACAGTTTTCCTCAGAGTGAAGGGTTCAGGAACAGAGGCATGCTAACATCAAGTACCACTTCACTGCAGAAATGCTTAGTAAGGTCCAACTTTAATCCTGACCACAAGAACAGCAGGGAGCTTCAGTACCAAAGCAATCTCTAATAGCCTTGCATTGGCTGAGTCACGAAGGAACATATGGGAACAATATCACTAAGACTCATGAATGAGAAAGACAAGAAGCAGAAGTGAGACTATGTTCTATAGAAAACTGACCTTCATTCACAGAAAATTAGGCAATTAGATAGAATTCAGTGGCTGACATTTTTTCTCCAGATGACAAATATTCTGAAGGAAAAAAACAACCAAAATATAGCACTGACTAATCTAGCAGAGACAGCACTTGAAATCTCAGGTTTTCATCCAAAATAAGCTTAGGTTTTAGCAATTACACTTTTAAATGTTGGTGCTTTAATAAATTCACATTATTCAATGCAAACAAAATTGCAGTTAGACAGAGATAACTCCCTGTTGTTTTGCAATTACCTTATCTTCAGTGTCATAAATATATGGATGGAGCTTCCAAAAATGTTTCTGCAGTGCTCAATAGAGCTATGCATTTTATCTCATCGCTCAATACAGAAACATAAAACCTGCTGCAGGGACCAGGCACCAAAACTTCCACCTCTTTCTCAAGGGAAGACTTGTGCCCTACACAATCAAGCTCTACTTGCTTTTTCTGGCAGTTTAATTTTCCTTCTGCACAGTGGTCCTGTTTCAAGAAAAAATGTAGCTTTTTTTCTTGGCATTGAGGAGTCTATCATGTGGGAACAGTATGTTCCCTTCCAGCTAGAAAGGGCTGATAACCCACTTCCAGGGAGAATGTTCTCTACACCATGCACTCCTACAGAAGGCATGCACTGCAACCTCCTCCAATGGCAATTTTAAATAAATTGACTAAGACTGCCACTGTTGAAATGACCCCCAGCTAATTAGGCCACATAAAAAACATGCAAATATGCTTCCCTAACAATTGCAACATTTTAAGTTAGAGAGGCATTTGCTAAAGTTGACAGAAAGATTTCCTAGCACTTTCACAGAAACTTAGGAGAGTTTAATTAGCTTCAGAATCCTACAATATTTATTAGCCCTGTAGAGTAGGTAAGCCAAACTTCTCAAGCATGGGTGTCTAGTATGATGAGACAGGTGCAATTCAGGCCAAACAGAGAAAAATATGAATACAAATTAACATCAACACCAAATTTTAAAAAGCTCAGGAAGTGTTCATAAGTGTCAACTTGTAATTACTTTTCAGTTACGGGTGGGAAGGGATTGAGATTTGAAGAAACTGGAGAGAAAGGACTGGTGATGCTGAAGACAGGCTACTCTTGCTTACTGCTGACACCTTCAACTGAAGGACTGCAAGGATTAGGGCCCCAGACAAGAGAATAAGTACAATAGATGCATCTAACTGTCTTTTTAGGCTGTTTTGCTCTAAAACCAGTGTATTTAGGTTACTGCATCTTGTACAAAGAAAGTGTGACGATGCTGTCTTGATAGCATGCACACACACACACATACACGTGTGCTAAAAATATTCTTCAAGGACTCCACAACATTTTGACTACAAAATTAGATTTTCCTCAGTCAGATTTTGCAACTCTCAGACATAGTTTATGTTTTCACAGCAGGTTGCCTCCAGAATCATCACAACTGAGTCTAAATGTGACAGCATTCATCCACTGGGGATTTGACTACTACCTAATTTTTATTCTGGACAAGCTATTACAGCTTCTAAAGATGTATTTAGCAAATTATTAAGAATCTCTTCTTTAAAGACAATTGTGTATTGCAAAAAAGATACCTTCAGATGTTACTGACACTATTTTAAACTAGTTTCACATAGAAAGAAGATATACAGAACTTCAGAAGTTTGCTGCCAGATTTCAGTAAGCTAAACAGCTAGAAACAATCTTCTAATTTTTATGCCATTTATAGGATACTGTTTTCCAAAGACCAACTGATTGCTCCAAAGACAGGAAAACTAAACAAGACTCCACATTATTTGACGGAACTGACAAAAGAAAGCATTTTGTAAATATCCAATCACATGAGTAAAATTTTATTTTGTGGAAAACACAGAGGCCTCATCAGTTCTACTGCTTGTGAAATTATTTGCAACAATTACCAACAGTGTTCAGTTTTAAGCTTAAAGCTTGCTTTTCATCTCAATTTCCCATGATTACCCACTGATTTAAAAATGCTGCATATATAGATGCTGAGAAAATAGTAGCTTATTTCCACCTATACGCAAAGTTAGGCTATTAAATAAAGCCACTGTACAAGAGATGCTACTTTTTCTCATTTGAAGGCAGAAGGAAGAAAGAAATTTTTTGAGAAATAACAAAACCACTTCAAGTATTTTCTATCACTTCTGAAACATGAGAAGATAGTTCTGCTTAACACATAGCCAAAACATTTAAGGAAATAAGAGACTAAAATTTAAAAAAAATAATTAACTAATAC